AAAGGGAAAGAGCTCAGGACCCACTGGCAGAGTGGATTTAGAGCCTGAGGAAAGAAGGGTTGAGATGACTGACTCCAAGTTTCCCAACTGGCTACTACTGCCAGGAATACGATCATGGAGAAAAGACGTCTTTGTGGAGTTGAATTCTAAATTGGACACGTTGAGGGTCAGTCACCAAGGAAAGTCTATGCACAGCTGAAATCAAGGATGGATCATGGGCAAGAGGCCAGGGCTGGGAACCCAGATTTGGGATTCATCAGAGCTAGTGGGTGAAATTATAGTCAAGGATGAGCTCAACAAGGGAAGTCATATACCTGAAGATGACCAGAGAGACAGGACCTGGTCCTGGAGGATATCCAGGGCAGGGGAGAGTGAGACATGGCGTCTGACCTCCACACTGCTGATACCCATCAGGAGAACATCATCTCCCTGCGGTTATGATCAGCCCTGACTCTCCCTAGAGAAGGACCTCCATGACCCTACTTGCCACATGATCAGAATATTTCAGCGCTCAGGTAACCTTTCGATGTGGAAAGATAGACGGGTAGACTCCCCTGGCCAAAATCAAAAGTGAGCACATAGTGGGACTTCCCTGGGGATCCAGTGGTTAAGACTGCGTGCTTCCAATACAGGGGGCACGGGTTCGATACCTGGTCAAGGAACTAAAATCCCACATGCCACACAGTGCAGAAAAAAGAAAAAATAAGTGAGCATATAGTTAACAAGACGGAGAAACATTATTTCCCACCTGGCATCTTGCAGCCCATACAGATGTACTCTGTTTGGACATCTGGGAGTTGCTTCTCTTCTCTTTTCGGTTTCTCTTCTTCCCTGCACTCCTGTATTGCCCCCTCTGAATGCTTTCTACCCTTTGCCTCTGCCTTCAGGGCACACTCTAGCCTAGAAGGATGCTGCAAGCCCTTCCAGGCTCTAAGCATTCTTCCTGGCCCTGATCCTGAAGGGGAAGGAGCTGTAGGTACTTAATTATATCTTAAGTGGAGGCCTCACATCTGCCAGATTCTTCCCAGTAGAGCATCTACACGAGGAAATATTTCTTTTATAATATATTGATTGCCTCTTGCATAATTGGGACATGATACTATGCTCATGAAGTCTCTGTGTTTTTACCTTACCAAAGACCCTCCCCCTCACCAAGGGTGATAAGTGGGATGGGGAAAAGAGAATAAAAGGGGAAAATTCAATTCTGAAATATCTAAACAAATGTGGGACCATGTGGACTGGTGGCTTTGACTTCCTCTCCTGCTGGTGCTCACCCAGCTCAGACTTTGACGACTAGCAAAGGAGAAGGACCGTCAACCCATTCTTGATAGTCAGCCTCCTCTGCTGCCTGTCCCCCGTCTGCCCATTCAGTGACAGTGTGAGAAAACTACTCAGAACATCCAGAGCATCTGGTCCTTCCTGGAAAAAAAAGCTCATATTCCCAGCACGTGAGTGATTTTTCAGGTTTAAAACAAAGCTCTGTGTGTGCACAGGTGTATGTGTGCCCGTGCATCTGTGTACACATGAGTGTTTACTTTGCTGCTGTGGTTGAAGATGGTCTAGAAGAGGAGCAGCAGAAAGGCAGCTTTCTGCCTCTGAATTTCCAGGCAGGAGATTTTGATATCAGGAGTTACTGATATTCTAGAAAGGAGAAAACCATCCATTTGAGACACTGACAAGGCTTCCTGTGAGGGACAAAATCAGTTTCCTGTGGAAACAGACATGATGGTACACTTGGAAGGCCATATTAGTGATCTATTGCTGCATAATATATTACACCAAAAGCTAGTGACATAAAACAGTAAGTATTTACTATCTCACTCTTTCTGTGGGTCAGGAATTCAATAGCAGCTTAGCTGGGTGGTTCTGGTTCAGGGTCTCTGATGAGGTTGCAGTCAAAATGCTGGCTGGGGCTGTGATCATCTGAAGGCTTGACTGGGGCTGGAAAATGTGCTCTCAGGTGCTCGCTCATGTGGCTGGCAAGGTGATGCTGGCTGTTGGCAGGAGGCCTCAGGTCCTTGCCACATGGACCTCTCCATGGTGCTGCTTGAGTGTCCTCGTGACATGGCAGCTGGCTTCCAGAAAAACAAATGATCCAAGAGAGTACAAGGCAGAAGCTGTCATGTCTTTTATGACCTAGCACTGGAAGGCAGACTCCATCATTTCTGCAATATCCTATTGGTTACACAGGTCATCCCCATTCAGTGGGGAGAGGACTACCTCCCAGTGATTACCGGGAGGCAGGGGTCATTGGGGACCACCTTGGAGACTGGCTGCCACAAAGGGGGGATGATTCTGTAATTGGACCTCAACTTCTGACCCGACATTGCTGGCACAGCCTTTCATTTTCCCTAGGCTTTGGTTTCTTCCTACCTTAGAGGAAAACTGTGACCATGGCTGTTCTCTGTGTTCTGAGAAGTGATCCCACCAGGCCCTAGGCTCACCTTGCTAATTAAATCTGCTCTCAGTGCTCGCTCCTTACTGGCATTCTAGCCTACGGTGCCAAGGGTAAAATAAAATCAAATGGGATTCTGCAAAAACAGCTGTTTATCGGTTGGTGCTCATCCCAAAAGTTGTGAGCCTCTGGCTCTTTGTGAGAAATTGGTATCAGTGAGGGTGGAATGTAATTGGCTGTTAATGCAGCCTCCTTTCCAAAGAGGCTGGTCTGAGGGCTACGACTCAGAGTCTCCATCCTCCCAGGATACTCGGTCCTCTGGGTGTGAGGCTCACAGATTTCTTGGTAGCCAGTTCAGAACCTCTCTCTTACGTAGCAAATAATAACTTGTGAAATTCTTATTGTCTTCTTTCCCTTCACTCATCAGAGTCCTGTGTGTTGGCTGTTACTGCTGTGATGTAGTTGAGCAGGGCTTGTGGAATTATTTTTTAAATCAGCCTTAGGACTTGGTGTATGTAAATGGTAGAGAGGAGGGGAGGGAGGGGCTGAGGGGGCCAGGCTCAGGATGGGCGGGGAGGGCTTTCATGCTCATTGCTTCAGGTCCATTGCAATCGCAGAGGAGCAGAGTCCTCAAAGTCACTTTGTTCCGCCAGTCACTCGCACTACGCACCATGAGGCCACTTGTGCCCAAGAATGTGTCTTTAATGCAACAAATGCTCCCGGGTAGAGGAGCATCTGCATCTCAGGTTCACCTGAGTCCCCACAGCAGCCCTTCATCTTTTCTTCTCCTTGACCTCCAGCGCTGTGCTAGCTGGGTTCCGCCGTGAGCTTGCAGACAGCACACAATGGCAAAGGAAATGACAAGCATCACGGGAGATCATGCAGCACTACTGATCTATCCTAGGTCCAGCCAACACTTTCATTAAACTCTCTCCCTCTGAAGAAAGAGAGAGATGAGTCCTGCCCTTAGCTAGGAGAGGAGCCA